AACTCGCCAAAACAAACACTTTTCATAACAACAAGCCAAACTCATCAAAAGAACACTAAAACAACAGCTTAACGCATTCATGCCATTACACATGCTCAAAAACGTTCAAACTCGCCAAAACAAACAATGTTCATAACAACAAGCCAAACTCATCAAAAGAACACTAAAACAACAGCTTAACGCATTCATGCCATTACACATGCTCAAAAACCTTCAAACTGGCCAAAACGAACAATGTTCATAACAACAAGCCAAACTCATCAAAAGAACACTAAAACAACAGCTTAACGCATTCATGCCATTACACATGCTCAAAAACGTTCAAACTCGCCAAAACAAACACTTTTCATAACAACAAGCCAAACTCATCAAAAGAACACTAAAACAACAGCTTAACGCATTCATGCCATTACACATGCTCAAAAACGTTCAAACTCACCAAAACAAACACTTTTCATAACAACAAGCCAAACTCATCAAAAGAACACTTAAACAACAGCTTAACACAAGGGATTACTAATTCAACACATTCATGCCATTACACATGCTCAAAAACGTTCAAACTGGCCAAAACGAACAATGTTCATAACAACAAGCCAAACTCATCAAAAGAACACTAAAACAACAGCTTAACGCATTCATGCCATTACACATGCTCAAAAACGTTCAAACTCGCCAAAACAAACACTTTTCATAACAACAAGCCAAACTCATCAAAAGAACCCTAAAACAACGGCTTAACACAAGGGAGTACTAATTCAACACATTCATGCCATTACACATGCTCAAAAACCTTCAAACTGGCCAAAACGAACAATGTTCATAACAACAAGCCAAACTCATCAAAAGAACACTAAAACAACAGTTTAACACAAGGGATTACTAATTCAACACATTCATGCCATTGCACATGCTCAAAAACCTTCAAACTGGCCAAAACGAACAATGTTCATAACAACAAGCCAAACTCATCAAAAGAACACTAAAACAACAGCTTAACGCATTCATGCCATTACACATGCTCAAAAACGTTCAAACTCGCCAAAACAAACACTTTTCATAACAACAAGCCAAACTCATCAAAAGAACACTAAAACAACGGCTAAACACAAGGGAGTACTAATTCAACACATTCATGCCATTACACATGCTAAAAAAAACCTTCAAACTGGCCAAAACGAACAATGTTCATAACAACAAGCCAAACTCATCAAAAGAACACTAAAACAACAGCTTAACACAAGGGATTACTAATTCAACACATTCATGCCATTACACATGCTAAAAAACCTTCAAACTGGCCAAAACGAACAATGTTCATAACAACAAGCCAAACTCATCAAAAGAACACTAAAACAACAGCTTAACGCATTCATGCCATTACACATGCTAAAAAAAACTTCAAACTGGCCAAAACGAACAATGTTCATAACAACAAGCCAAACTCATCAAAAGAACACTAAAACAACAGCTTAACGCATTCATGCCATTACACATGCTCAAAAACGTTCAAACTCGCCAAAACAAACACTTTTCATAACAACAAGCCAAACTCATCAAAAGAACACTAAAACAACAGCTTAACGCATTCATGCCATTACACATGCTTAAAAACCTTCAAACTGGCTAAAACGAACAATGTTCATAACAACAAGCCAAACTCATCATAAGAACACTAAAACAACAGCTTAACGCATTCATGCCATTACACATGCTCAAAAACGTTCAAACTCGCCAAAACGAACAATGTTCATAACAGCAAGCCAAACTCATCAAAAGAACACTAAAACAACAGCTTAACACATTCATGCCATTACACATGCTCAAAAACCTTCAAACTAGCCAAAAAGAAACAATGTTCATAACAACAAGCCAAACTCATCAAAAGAACACTAAAACAACAGCTTCACGCATTCATGCCACATGCTCAAAAACCTTCAAACTCGCCAAAACAAACACTTTTCATAACAACAAGCCAAACTCATCAAAAGAACACTAAAACAACAGCTTAACGCATTCATGCCATTACACATGCTCAAAAACCTTCAAACTCGCCAAAACGAACAATGTTCATAACAACAAGCCAAACTCATCAAAAGAACACTAAAACAACAGCTTAACGCATTCATGCCATTACACATGCTCAAAAACCTTCAAACTGGCCAAAACGAACAATGTTCATAACAACAAGCCAAACTCATCAAAAGAACACTAAAACAACAGCTTAACGCATTCATGCCATTACACATGCTCAAAAACCTTCAAACTCGCCAAAACGAACAATGTTCATAACAACAAGCCAAACTCATCAAAAGAACACTAAAACAACAGCTTAACGCATTCATGCCATTACACATGCTCAAAAACGTTCAAAGTCGCCAAAACAAACACTTTTCATATCAACAAGCCAAAGTCATCATAAAAACACTAAAACAACAGTTTAACATAAGGGATAACTAATTCAACACATTCATGCCATTACAGATGCTCAAAAACGTTCAAACTCGCCAAAACGAAAAATGTTCATAACAACAAGCCAAACTCATCAAAAGAACACTAAAAGAGCAGCTTAACACAGACATGCCATTACAGATGCTCAAAAACGTTCAAACTCGCCAAAACAAACACTTTTCATAACAACAAGCCAAACTCATCAAAAGAACACTAAAACAACAGCTTAACGCATTCATGCCATTACACATGCTAAAAAAACCTTCAAACTGGCCAAAACGAACAATGTTCATAACAACAAGCCAAACTCATCAAAAGAACACTAAAACAACAGCTTAACGCATTCATGCCATTACACATGCTCAAAAACGTTCAAACTCGCCAAAACAAACACTTTTCATAACAACAAGCCAAACTCATCATAAAAACACTAAAACAACAGTTTAACACAAGGGATTACTAATTCAACACATTCATGCCATTACACATGCTCAAAAACCTTCAAACTGGCCAAAACGAACAATGTTCATAACAACAAGCCAAACTCATCATAAGAACACTAATACAACAGCTTAACGCATTCATGCCATTACACATGCTCAAAAACCTTCAAACTCGCCAAAACAAACACTTTTCATAACAACAAAACAAACACTTTTCATAACAACAAGCCAAAGTCATCATAAAAACACTAAAACAACAGCTTAACACAAGGGATTACCAATTCAACGAATTCATGCCATTACACATGCTCAAAAACGTTCAAACTCGCCAAAACGAACAATGTTCATAACAACAAGCCAAACTCATCAAAAGAACACTAAAACAACAGCTTAACACAAGGGATTACCAATTCAACGAATTCATGCCATTACACATGCTCAAAAACGTTCAAACTCGCCAAAACAAACACTTTTCATAACAACAAGCCAAACTCATCAAAAGAACACTAAAACAACAGCTTAACGCATTCATGCCATTACACATGCTCAAAAACGTTCAAACTCGCCAAAACAAACACTTTTCATAACAACAAGCCAAACTCATCAAAAGAACACTAAAACAACGGCTTAACACAAGGGAGTACTAATTCAACACATTCATGCCATTACACATGCTAAAAAACCTTCAAACTGGCCAAAACGAACAATGTTCATAACAACAAGCCAAACTCATCAAAAGAACACTAAAACAACAGCTTAACGCATTCATGCCATTACACATGCTCAAAAACGTTCAAACTAGCCAAAACAAACACTTTTCATAACAACAAAACAAACACTTTTCATAACAACAAGCCAAACTCATCAAAAGAACCCTAAAACAACGGCTTAACACAAGGGAGTACTAATTCAACACATTCATGCCATTAAACATGCTAAAAAACCTTCAAACTGGCCAAAACGAACAATGTTCATAACAACAAGCCAAACTCATCAAAAGAACACTAAAACAACAGCTTAACACAAGGGATTACTAATTCAACGCATTCATGCCATTACACATGCTCAAAAACGTTCAAACTCGCCAAATCGAACACTTTTCATAACAACAAGCCAAACTCATCAAAAGAACACTAAAACAACGGCTTAACACAGGGGAGTACTAATTCAACACATTCATGCCATTACACATGCTCAAAAACCTTCAAACTGGCCAAAACGAACAATGTTCATAACAACAAGCCAAACTCATCAAAAGAACACTAAAACAACAGCTTAACGCATTCATGCCATTACACATGCTCAAAAACGTTCAAACTCGCCAAAACAAAAACTTTTCATAACAACAAGCCAAACTCATCAAAAGAACACTAAAACAACAGCTTAACACAAGGGATTACTATTTCAACACATTCATGCCATTACACATGCTCAAAAACCTTCAAACTGGCCAAAACGAACAATGTTCATAACAACAAGCCAAACTCATCAAAAGAACACTAAAACAACAGCTTAACGCATTCATGCCATTACACATGCTCAAAAACGTTCAAACTCGCCAAAACAAACACTTTTCATAACAACAAGCCAAACTCATCAAAAGAACACTAAAACAACGGCTTAACACAAGGGAGTACTAATTCAACACATTCATGCCATTACACATGCTCAAAAACCTTCAAACTGGCCAAAACGAACAATGTTCATAACAACAAGCCAAACTCATCAAAAGAACACTAAAACAACAGCTTAACGCATTCATGCCATTACACATGCTCAAAAACGTTCAAACTGGCCAAAACGAACAATGTTCATAACAACAAGCCAAACTCATCAAAAGAACACTAAAACAACAGCTTAACGCATTCATGCCATTACACATGCTCAAAAACGTTCAAACTCGCCAAAACGAACACTTTTCATAACAACAAGCCAAACTCATCAAAAGAACACTAAAACAACAGCTTAACGCATTCATGCCATTACACATGCTCAAAAACGTTCAAACTCGCCAAAACAAACATTTTTCATAACAACAAGCCAAACTCATCAAAAGAACACTAAAACAACAGCTTAACGCATTCATGCCATTACACATGCTCAAAAACGTTCAAACTCGCCAAAACAAAAACTTTTCATAACTAGGGCCCCGTTGGGGCACTGGCGGGCCCGAGCCATGTGCCCCCCCCCCCCCCCCCCCCCCCCCCCCCAACGCGCTGCCTCCCCGTCCCATTCGCGTCCTCTGGCCATCGCCCTCTCTGGTAACGCCCATCACTGCAAAGACCCTTTTCCTTCATCGGTGTTTGCTGTTCTTCCTGCCAGTCCGTGTTGCTTTCACTTACACTTGCCACAGCCAGCCTCGTGAGTGCCTAGCCTATTGGATATCACTGTCACCTACACAGGACAGTCATTACCTTTCTATTAATACTTTGTTTTTAATTTCACATTAATTTCCATATTGTATAAATGACTGGAAAAAACTTGAGCCCCTGCCCCTGTATTATCATGTGCACTTCCCTGTTGTAGCTCCAAGGTGAATCTTCACTGCTCATGTTCTCCTCAGAAGCAGTGACCTCACTCCCCTCAGGTTACTGTACACATGCACCAACTGCCTGCTTCAGGTTTGGATGGAGCTTCATGGTTGTCTTTTGGAGAAATGACCAGTCAAGTTGTGTTCGAAATCTGATTTTTTTCAGGGGCAAAAGGAGCCTCTGCATTCTTGTCAAATATGTTAATAACAAGTTTTTGCAGGTGCTAAAAAAAAAGACTCTGAGTGTGTGTGTGTGTGTGTGTGTGTGTGTGTGTGTGTGTGTGTGTGTGTGTGTGTGTGTGTGTGTGTGTGTGTGTGTGTGTGTGTCCTGCAGTACTCTGAGAAGAATAATAAGCATATTTCTGAGGTGAATTTTGAAGATTCATCTGAGAGTTAGGAGGGCTGATCATTCCCTTACCCTTTAGATGTCTGTCTATGTCTGTTTTTGTGTGATAATGAAAGAATCCCAACTCAAAAAGGCTCTGTTGATGGTTTTTTTTTTTGTTGTTCATTCATATTCAAACCACTATTTTATATCACTGCTAATACGCCAAGACCATTTTATGGTATTTAGCCTTATTATTTCTATACATTTTGCAAGGAAAGAAACCAAGGCCTTCACTAAAATTTCCATAAACTTTAGGAAAGGACCTCTGGTTGTTTAAGGGGGTCATTACTGCAAAAACATATTCTTCCTAAATTTTGAAGGTCAAAGCTTAGATCCATTAGGTTTAAATAGAAAAAGCATTTAAATATGTTAGGATTATAGCATATGACAAATGTGTGCCTCTCAGTGGCCATAACTACTTTGTCTGCTGGCTCTGCAGTCGATTGACGTTCCCCAGCGTTCAAGTCACATGACATATTTAACCGGATGTAGCTGCAAGACGGAGCCTCGTTGATTCTCCGTTTCAACCTATCTTAAAAGTGAGGACCTCAAACTATATACCAGTTTTTAAATTGTGTTGATAGGCCAAATAAAACCAGAGTTATGATAAATTATGTCTGCAATACTTTTTTTCTGCTTATTTTGATCACGTTCGGCGCTCGATCGCGCTGTATGAGACAGGAAAACATAGCATGCAGACATTAGCGACAGCTCTTACAGGCGGAAAAGACTTGCCAAAAGAAAAGAAAAAAACACACCACAAGATCTCTCCTATTGTTGGAAAACTTCACCACAACAACCAATCCAAAATTATATGGTGACTGATTGACACGGGACGGGCGCTCGCGTTCTTCCTGCAACTTGAGAAGGGAGGGAGGGACTCTCAGCAGGGATGCAGTCTGGGACACGTAGTTGCAAACCTAGCGACTTTGTTGTTAGATTCAATGACTTTTCAGACCCCCTAATGACTTTTTTTTAGAAAGAAAGGGACTTTTATCGACTTCTTCTGGAGTTCTGGAGTTTAGAGACTCTGACATGAAGCAGGCTTTCCTTACTGAGGAGTTAGCAACGCTGCTAAGGGTGCAGAGCCACACATGCGCTCCGAGCTCTGCATGGGAGACTGAAGCTGACAGAGCTGCAGCAGTTAGCAGGTTTCACCCTCAGAGACCACCAGGGGTTCATGTTGAGGCATTTTCAGTTTTTTTTTTTTTTTTTTTTTTGCCACAGACACTGTCAGCACAATCTGCAGTTACACTAACAAAAATGCTGCAAAAAACAAAGAATTATGGAAAAATTACACATGGACTAACATAGAGGAGGATCTACACAAGTTTTTTACATCATGTTTTACATCATGCATCATTTACATCATGTTTTTTTGTAGTGGCATAAATAAAAAGTGACATTTGTGAGACTATACAGTGTTTTGTAAATAATTTTACAAAGAACGCCTGGGCCATTGCCTGCATTTTGATGTAAATAGAGGTAAATTACTATGTTCTTTGTTAAAAATTTGCATATGTTTTGAAGTTTACAATTTTTATTTGAAGTTAAAGTTTTAAAAACAGTTCATCACACATATTTGTGGTTTTCACAGTAAAAACGTTACTTTTTTCCACTCGGATTTTATGTTTTATGTGTGAATTTGGGTCCAATGTGTAAATATAGTATGTCAAAATGATAAAATAACTGTAAATTGACACAGGTGAGGTTGTGCTGAAAAAAATGATACCAGGCAAGGCAAGGTAAAATTTTGTAAGAGGAAATATAAAGGTAAAATCTAAAGTAGTCAAAAACGGCCAATAGTGACTCACAGACTCCACAGACAAGTCCCTTTGGCGCCACTCAGTGGGCAAAACTACTTTGTCTACTGTAATGTATATTTGGGTCATCTTTGGCGCCCCCTAAAACATAAACCGTGGGGTGCAGCGTCACGATTTTTACAACTTTGAATGGCCATGGAGTGTAGATTAGCCTGAGCAACTTTGGTGACAGTGGAACTTAAGCCTTCAGAGGAGTTAGCGAAATTCCAATGTGTGCAAATCGCCAAAAACTGCGAAATTGCCCTTTAACCATACATTTTACAGATACGTGCCCATTGACTTTTTCGTAGATCTTATTGAAATACACATGTATGTAAAATTTTGTGTCAATACGACAAAACATACAGGCGTAGCACTCAACAATGTGTATTTTCACCTTAGTGGACAAGAAAAAATGGACTTTTTTCTCCTGCCATGGGGGGGCGCTCTTTTGGCGAGTAAAAATTCCTTCACAAATGTGTTGATGGCTGGACATTGCATCATCCTAGAAAACTTGGAGGCCAGTGGGGACAACAATAAAAAGTTATAAGACTTTTAAATATGTGGATTTTAGGGTTATCTTTGGCGCCCCATAGAACCTAAACCGTGGGGTGCAGCGTCATGATTTGAATAACTTTTAATGGCCATGGGGTGTAGATTGGCCTGAGCAAATGTGGTGCCGGTGGAACGAAAGCCTTCGGAGGAGTTAGCGAAATTCCAATGTGTGCGGATCTGCAAAAAATGCGGAATAACCCTTTAACTGTACATTTGACAGATACGCCCGCACTGACTTTTTTGTAGATCTTATTGAGATACATGTGTGTGTCAATTTTTCTGTCATTTTGACAAAGCGTACAGGCGTCAGGTGAATTTTTCACCTTAGGGGGCGCTATGGAGCCATTTTGCATTGTATTGTTTGGGCGACTTCAGAATATCAAATTTTTCACCAGGCCCGGTCGTCCTGCCAAATTTCATGAGTTTTCGCCAGTGGGAAGTGGGCCATTTTCCAGTTCAAAGGGGAGGAAAAAGAAAAAAGAAACAAAGAACTAGGGCCCCGGTGGGGCACTGGCGGGCCCGAGCCGTGTCACACCGCCCCCAGCGCGACCGCCTACCCCTCCCGATCGCGTCACACTCAAGGTCCAAAGATGGTGTGCGCACTTGTCTGTGGTCATTTACCATTATAATGAATGGGAGGCGCAGTTTCTACCAAAACGCTCGCTGCAGACAAACTCCATGTCCTTTTTGAAAAAATTCTGGACCATGAGTGAGGGCACAAACACAGCTAGTATATATCCAAATGGCAAGTTGCTCCTCCTTTCGGTTTTGCCGAGAGAGCGATGCGTTTGAGCCATTGAGCGATGGGCAGGAAAAACTTGACTTTTTCTCCTGCCATGGGGGGGCGCTCTTTTGGGGAGAAAAAATTCCTTCACAAATGTGTTGATGGCTGGACATTGCATCATCCTAGAAAACTTGGAGGCCAGTGAGGACAAAAATAAAAAGTTATAAGACTTTAAAAATGTGGATATTTGGGTCCTCTTTGGCGCCCCCTAGAACGTAGACCATGGGGTGCAGCGTCATGATTTTTACAACTTTGAATGGCCATGGGGTGTAGATTGGCCTGAGCAAATTTGGTGTCAGTGGGACGAAAGCCTTAGGAGGAGTTAGCCACATTCCAATGTGTGCGAATCGGCAAAAAATGCGAAATAGCCCTTTAACCGTACATTTTACAGATACGCGCGCATTGACTTTTTCGTAGATCTTATTGAGATACACGTGATTGTCAAATTTTGTGTCAATATGACAAAGCGTACAGGCGTGTCATTCAACAATGTGTATTTTCACCTTAAGGGACAAGAAAAAATTGACTTTTTTGTCCTGCCATGGGGGGGGGGCGCTCTTTTGGGGAGTAAAAATTCCTTCACAAATGTGTTGATGGCTGGACATTGCATCATCCTAGAAAACTTGGAGGCCAGTGAGGGCAAAAATAAAAAGTTATAAAACTTTTAAGAATGTGGATTTTAGGGTTATTTTTGGCGCCCCCTAGAACCTAAACCATGGGGTGCAGCATCACGATTTGTACAACTTTGAATGGCCATGGAGTGTAGATTGGCCTGAGCAAATGTGGTGCCGGTGGACCGAAAGCCTTCGGAGGAGTTAGTGAAATTCCAATGTGTGCCTTTAACCGTACATTTGACAGATACGCCCGCACTGACTTTTTCATAGATCTTATGGAGATACATGTGTGTGTCAATTTTTGTGTCAATATGACAAAGCGTACAGGCGTGACAGTCAATAGTGTGAATTTTCACCTTAGGGGGCGCTATGGAGCCATTTTGTATTTTATTGTTTGGGCGACTTCAGAATATCGAATTTTTCACCAGGCCCGGTCGTCCTGCCAAATTTCCTGAGTTTTCGCCAGTGGGAAGTGGGCCATTTTCCAGTTTAAAGAGGAGGAAAAATAATAATAATAATAATAATAACAAAAGAAGAATCCATCAGGAACAAGAGGGCTCTCACAGCTGCTTAGCAGCTACGCTCGGGCCCTAAAAACCACTACAGGAATAAAAGGGCCTACGCCCGGCTGCTCTGCAGCTGGCTCGGGCCCTAACAACAAGCCAAACTCATCAAAAGAACACTAAAACAACAGCTTAACACAAGGGATTACTAATTCAACACATTCATGCCATTACACATGCTCAAATACGTTCAAACTCGCCAAAACGAACAATGTTCATGACAACAAGCCAAACTCATCAAAAGAACACTAAAACAACAGCTTAACGCATTCATGCCATTACACATGCTCAATAACCTTCAAACTGGCCAAAACGAACAATGTTCATAACAACAAGCCAAACTCATCAAAAGAACACTAAAACAACAATTTAACACATGGGATTACTAATTCATGCCATTACACATGCTCAAAAACGTTCAAACTCGTCAAAAAAAACACTTTTCATAACAACAAGCCAAAGTCATCAAAAGAACACTAAAACAACATCTTAACACAAGGGATTACTAATTCAACACATTCATGCCATTACACATGCTAAAAAACCTTCAAACTGGCCAAAACGAACAATGTTCATAACAACAAGCCAAACTCATCAAAAGAACACTAAAACAACAGCTTAACTTATTCATGCCATTACACATGCTCAAAAACGTTCAAACTCGTCAAAAAAAACACTTTTCATAACAACAAGCCAAACTCATCAAAAGAACACTAAAACAACAGCTTAACGCATTCATGCCATTACACATGCTCAAAAACGTTCAAACTCGCCCAAACGAATAATGTTCATAACAACAAGCCAAAGTCATCAAAAGAACACTAAAACAACAGCTTGACGCATTCATGTCATTAAACATGCTCAAAAAACGTTCAAACTGGCCAAAACGAACAATGTTCATAACAACAAGCCAAACTCATCAAAAGAACACTAAAACAACAGCTTAACACAAGGGATTACTAATTCAACACTTTCATGCCATTACACATGCTCAATAACCTTCAAACTGGCCAAAACGAACAATGTTCATAACAACAAGCCAAACTCATCAAAAGAACACTAAAACAACAGCTTAACGCATTCATGCCATTACACATGCTCAAAAACGTTCAAACTCGCCAAAACAAACACTTTTCATAACAACAAGCCAAACTAATCAAAAGAACACTAAAACATCAGCTTAACGCATTCATGCCATTACACATGCTCAAAAACGTTCAAACTCGCCAAAACAAACACTTTTCATAACAAATAGCCAAACTAATCAAAAGAACACTAAAACAACAGCTTAACGCATTCATGCCATTACACATGCTAAAAAACCTTCAAACTGGCCAAAACGAACAATGTTCATAATAACAAGCCAAACTCATCAAAAGCACACTAAAACAACAGCTTAACGCATTCATGCCATTACACATGCTCAAAAACGTTCAAACTCGCCAAAACAAACACTTTTCATAACAACAAGCCAAACTCATCAAAAGAACCCTAAAACAGCGGCTTAACACAAGGGAGTACTAATTCAACACTTTTATGCCATTACACATGCTCAATAACCTTCAAACTGGCCAAAACGAACAATGTTCATAACAACAAGCCAAACTCATCAAAAGAACACTAAAACAACAGCTTAACGCATTCATGCCATTACACATGCTCAAAAACGTTCAAACTCGCCAAAACAAACACTTTTCATAACAACAAGCCAAACTAATCAAAAGAACACTAAAACAACAGCTTAACGCATGCATGCCATTACACATGCTAAAAAACCTTCAAACTGGCCAAAACGAACAATGTTCATAACAACAAGCCAAACTCATCAAAAGAACACTAAAACAACAGCTTAACACAAGGGATTACTAATTCAACACATTCATGCCATTACACATGCTCAAATACGTTCAAACTCGCCAAAACGAACAATGTTCATGACAACAAGCCAAACTCATCAAAAGAACACTAAAACAACAGCTTAACGCATTCATGCCATTACACATGCTCAATAACCTTCAAACTGGCCAAAACGAACAATGTTCATAACAACAAGCCAAACTCATCAAAAGAACACTAAAACAACAATTTAACACATGGGATTACTAATTCATGCCATTACACATGCTCAAAAACGTTCAAACTCGCCAAAACGAAAAATGTTCATAACAACAAGCCAAACTCATCAAAAGAACACTAAAACAACAGCTTAACGCATTCATGCCTTTACACATGCTCAAAAACGTTCAAACTCGCCAAAACAAACACTTTTCATAACAACAAGCCAAACTCATCAAAAGAACCCTAAAAATACGGCTTAACACAAGGGAGTACCAATTCAACACATTCATGCCATTACACATGCTAAAAAACCTTCAAACTGGCCAAAACGAACAATGTTCATAACAAAAAGCCAAACTCATCAAAAGAACACTAAAACAACAGCTTAAC